AGAATGATGCGCAACCAAGTGGTATTCGTTTATGATGACTGGGTTTGTGAAAAAGGCTTATTTCATGAAATCAGTGATAAAATTATCATTTGTACACTTTCAATAGTTTAATTACAGAAAAATTGGAAAAATATTTATTTCAACAGGTTCGTAATGTAATATCCTATCGATTGACGTATTTGGATTTTAATTTCATCTATAAATGACAAAGTTACAAGCCTTCAAAACCTAACACTCCTTCACCACACATATTTTTTGATTTGCACCCCAGTATAGTCGACAAAGACGTAGTTCTACGTCAAAAAGTTATGCCTGGTGACCTGGTTGATCACCTAAGCATTTTACAATACTTCCAAAGAGGACCAGTGATGAATATCAATGGAGACTGGGCAATTATGACACTCCCTTCAACGTTTGTGAAAAGTTGCGTTCGGATTGGGAAGTCGGTGGTCCTAGCGTTCTTCAAGGCTCAATCTTTTTCACAGATGGCTCAAAAATTGGAACACAAACAGGTGCAGGAATCTTTGGCCCTGGGACTAATATTTCAGTAGCGATGGGACATTGCCCAACAGTCCAACTAAAAGCGCTTCGTGCTTACAAATGTACATCAAAGATTGTCTGGGAATGTATTCTCTTGTTGCGACAGCTGTGCAAACAGAACTCAGTAAACTTATATTGGGTTCCTGGACACTGTGGCATTGAATGGAATGAAAGGGCAGACGATCTCGCAAAATTAGGTTCAAATTCACCGTTTATTGGACCAGAACCATACTGTGAAATATCAAACTGTTCGGATGATGACCAACTGAATGGCTGTCACGAAGTGCAACCAGTCGAAAAGATTTATAACTACAAATGTAACACATGCCAAAAAGCTCCTGGAGCTCAATAAACGAGCTCTTAGTATAAACACTGGCCTAGTAACTGGGCACTGTCCGAGTAGATATCATTTGAAGAACATTGGTCGGGTTCAGAGCGATATCTGCCGTTTCTGTAGCATAGAACGTGAAACCTCGAAACATCTGCTCTGCAGTTGCGGTGCATTACACAGGCGTAGATCTAAATTTCTTCGTAGTGTTATCTTACAACCTAGTGGAATTTGGTCCGCTAATCTTGGAAAGGTAGTTGGTTACATAAACCATATCATACCTGACTGGGAAAGGACGTGTCCAGGCAATTAGCTGTCCACTCATTAAATCGTGGTCAGCTTGCATGATACGAACAGTAAACAGAGGTACCACAAAAGTTCAAATAATGGACGCAGTGGTTCAACTACGCAAAAAAAAATCCTATAGTCCCTATTGGGAATTGTTGTCCAGGTGACCAATGTCTTCTAATTTGTCGGCTGATTAGTTCAGAATTTTCACACTACGCGACACTAATGTGCCTGTGGATTTCACGTAGATGTCCTAACTTCATAGATGGTAAGGATTTCAAGATATAGCTTATAGATGCATAGATTTTCGGATTTTCCGGTGGATCCCCCGGGGCTCCCTTATCACGAATTCATACTGATGAATGTTGTTTAAATGTTTTCGAAAAAAGCCTGATATATTTCAGAAACCACATATTGTTAAAAAATAAAAAAAATGTTATGTTCCATTTAATTCCACTTAATTAATTTTGGTATCTATGACAGATACGTATTTCGACTACAATGTGCAGTCTTCATCAGTGTCATTCCCACTAAAGAATTATTCAAAATCTAACCCCCTTAAGTACTCATCCCTTAGGTGAGAGTGTCAAGAGCACAGGTTAGATTTTGATAAGTTATTTAGTGGGAATTACATTGATGAAGACTGCACATTGTAGTCGGTCATAGATTCCAAAAATAATTAAAGCGAATTAAATGAAATTTAATTTTTAATGTTTTATCTAAGCATTCCGCTAACAACCCATTTAATTACATCACAACTATTGCTATTTACTGCATTCAGTTTCAACCTTGAGGCATAACGCATCCTAACCAAAGGTGTTCGTCTGACCCCGATAGAAGTCAAATTGTAAAAGCTTCTGTAACACCTAATAATTTGAAGAAAACTTTCTATTTTTCTCTGTAAATACATTGAACATACTTGTAGTATGTATTTATAGTAACTTTACGTTTACATGATTAATGATATAATAGCCCTAAAACAATAAATGTCATAACCACAAATTAACAAATGCTGGCCGCCACCATACACAATGTTTCAAAGGCAAAAATGTGTTTTACAACATCAATTATACTCTGCATCAGCGTTGGAAAAGATCGCGATATTTCACGAATATCACCAAGGGAAAGTTAACGAGTCATAGTGAGGTTTGGTGAACTTTTCCAACACTGCTCTGCATCATTAATTATTTTCAAGAGTTGATTGTTTCATTAATCTAAAGGATTGCCGTCTCACTCCGGAAGGCCGTCTTACCCCGTCGTCTTGTGCTGATAGACCTCTCACAATTTTCCTCATATTCGAAAAGTTTTTCCTGGAAAATCTAGGAAACTTTTACTCAGTCTATGAGTAATCTACAATTTTTGCTAATTTGAGTGACCAAATCGAAGAAATTTGAGTTTGTTTAATCAATCACTACGCGGCGCTACATGCTTCATGTAAATGCTATAACTCGAGATCCTAACCTTCTGGAAAGTTGCTGACTTGGGCAATAGTGTTCTAATAACCAGAGCCTTTCGAGTGGTGAATTGATAAGTTCAGAGTCCTACAACTACGCAGCGCTAGTGTACATGTGGAATATTATATCTTGAGATCCTGACCATCTGGAAAGTTGCTGTCGTCCGAAAAGACCTTCAGATATCCAAGACCTCCTACATGGTGGGTAGGTAAGTTGAAAATTTACCAACTGCGCTGTACTAATGTTCTTATAAGGTTATAAGAACATTAGTACAGCGTAGTTGGTGCCAAAATGTGCTAAATCACGAGATTCTTACTACCTGGACAGCTGCTGTTGTCAGTAAAGTTGTTATTATAATCAACGTCATCATGGTCAATCATTATCAACTCTCTTATGTCGTTTTCGTTTTTGCTGTGTAGCACCAGTGTAGTGTACGCAGGAATAAGCGCGAGTCTTTGATAGCTCAGCATCGTTTGTTTGTAAACAAAGATGCATCCTAGATCTACACCCTAAAATATTTCGGTGTACGGCAGTGTAGCACCGATGTAGCTACACCGCAAAAACTAAAACGACATTATTTACGCATAATTTTAACATCTATGCTTATGAGTGGTTAGTATTCATTCTTATCATATAATTCCATTCAATAAACATCAAATAAATGCTATAATAAGCCAGAAATCATCAACATTCTACATGACATAAATTTATGTCGCACGCCTGGTATTGTCTGCTTCATTGTGGGAAAATGTTCTGTCGCCTGCAGAAACCAGTTTAGAAATGTCATGACATTTTTTCCGCTTACCAGTTTGTGTTTGTGTGTCTTCTCTATGGTCATTGCGCAAAGTATCAAATGTTAAGGAAAAACGTTAAACTCCACACACTTAGAAATACCTTATTTTACACGTGGCGGAAACTATCTTTGACATAAAGGATGAGACGAAAACAAACATGTCATGTAAAATTAAGTGCTCCGAGACTGAAAAGTTCGTTACTCGACGAAAAGTACATTTGATTGGGTTGAATTTCGCGTCTATTATGACTCAATTTTATGTCAAGATTGACGCTCGTATATGTCAGTCTCAGAGCACTTAAAGTTACATGAATTTTTCTAAGTGTGCAGTTCATAGATTCTAAACGGTGCGTAAATTTGTAAACCATAACCATGTATGTAGTTTGCTTAAAACAAGATTTCATTTTAACACTGCTCAAATTGGCTTTAAATCGAAAACAATTCCAATAACACACAACTGCATTTACACAATCTGCTGCCATTTCTGTTTATGACGATACGTAATATCTCGCCGAATAGACACTTGTAATCATTCCGAATAACAATACCCATTTCAAATTCCACAATGCCATCTTTTCAATTTCCTTTATCCATATATTTTCGACCTGGTGCTTCAGCCCGCAACCCCCTCAAATGCTCGGAAAGGTTGGATTTCAATTCTCTGCCTGCGGCATCGGAAACGTGAAACCAAAACCAACTTTCAATCCATTGAAAAAATAAAAGAATTGAAGACTACGGCAAGGGCGAAAACGTGTCACGTTCCACCAGAAGCTGTAGTGGCGCACAGTGCACATACAGCAGCGCGGTACACTCACATGATTGTCATATTTAAATTTCTCCACCTCCAAGAAAATGCTCATCGCACTGCCAACTCCACCAGCTTCATGCGAGTGTAAAGCTGCAATGAAAATATTCATAAGACTCTACCGGTTATTGTCAGCGAAAGATATCTTGCTGTTATGTCTATGGAGGTATCATCGTTGCTGCTCCAATAGAAGTTCCATTTTCGTAATAATAGCACCAGTAGACTTAGCCAGCCGTAATAGTTCTTCAGTCGCGTCTTGTCGTTTTTGCCGGTAGAAGAGCTGAGTTTCCCATTTTTCTCAATCGCACACACACCCACACATACCCACTCATTCTGTTTGCTTCATTTGCCCTCTCAGTCACTTTGTACATACATATAGAATCGAATGCTATTCTGCTAGTTTCCTATATTTTTTTCATATCGTCTTACCACCCAGCTCTAAGTGCTCGACACAAGTTTCTGTTGTTGTGCTATATAGGAAAAATGGCAAACTTTATAGAGCAAATACATAGATGAATGCTTCTTCCGTTTAGTTTTTTTTTCTTTTGTTCGTTCGTGGAAACCGCCGGTACAGGTTCTTTCCGGTCGCCTAGCATAAAGGCGACGTGCCCATCGACGGAAAATACGCAACCGGAAGCAGCTTTAGTCTTAAATTTTTAATGTCGCAAAATTGAACCCGCACTCATCTTCGTTTCCATCGTTTGTCCATTTTTACTCCATTTCTTTGTCCATTCGCTACACAATCCGCTTTTCCACCTGAACGGACGACGGGCCACGCAACGACGATGATAGTCCTAGTGTTGGTGTTTGTGGTGTACAACCGAAGGCGTGAGTCGCACATCAAGTACCCGGGACCGGATGACGACGTGCGGGAGAATATCATCAACTACGACGACGAGGGCGGCGGTGAGGATGATATGACCGCCTACGACATTACACCACTGCAGATTCCAATCGGACCGATGCCAGAGCTGACGCAGTGTAAAATGCCACCCCTTATGTGTGAGTATTGCCAGCTTTGTTCCTTGGCTGGTCTCAGACAAGCTCTATATTCCCCCGAGTACGGGAACCATGTAATTTGAAACATCCCACTTTTACTATTTCATTCTCGCAAAAACATAGATCCGGTCATGACGATGGGACCGGGCCACGAACCGAACGTGGGCATGTTCATCGAGGAGCACAAGAAGCGAGCGGATAGCGACCCGAATGCGCCGCCGTTTGATGACCTGCGAAACTACGCCTACGAGGGTGGCGGCAGCACGGCCGGTTCGCTCAGCTCGCTACAATCAGGTAGGTGAAATCCAAAACGTCCCATTTCATTTCCATGTGGCATTAATTTTATGATGAAATTGGTTTGCACCTATAGTGTTTCAACTGCCGTACAATTAGTAAAAGATGAAATTTCAAACTAGGATCTAAAACGGTTCCAGTTTGAAGAATGGTTGGTTACCACCACAGGAGCATCCAATCAAATTGCTTGTCAGATTGACCACTATTAGCAAACTGATACGATGTTACCTAACCTGGAAGCGTAGGGAAGCCAATTCAATACTTGATGAAATTCGGCCTTTTCCATATTGTATATTTGCAATTTGGATGTAGACAGCCATTCCATAGCAAAACGATATAGTGGTTTGCAGAATTCCGTGAAAATTTGTAGTTTTGTTCCTCATCGCAAAATATTAGACCCAGATTGTTTATTTAGTCATTAGAGAAACCATTGAACCATACTGAAATTGTAGACAAAAAGTGTATTCTAAAAAGTTGTTCCTTATAGTTGGGCGCTCATTTTTATGACAATGAATTCTAGGGTGGTTCTTATTACACTAGTTTACAAAACAACATAAAAAGTGTGAACTTTAGTGGTTGACCAACGTTTCTAATGCAAAATCCTACGCTGAATTCAATGCCGTGGTCAGAAAAAATTAAAGTAGAGCCATTTTTGAGGTATACAAAAATTTTGATTTTTTGAATTTTGGACAAAAGCACGATTTTTATGAAAGTGAAGCTAAATAAATTTGCTATCGTTCACTAGAATATTATGTCTTAATTAAAAATTTAATTTTGAAATCATTTAAAAATTAACAGCATTTTTTTTATTTTTCCTGCGAATTTTCCATAAAAATCTTGTTTTAATCAACATTTTTAATGGGATAAAAAGATTCAAAAAATCATTCCATAATTTATTCTTAAAGTCCATTAAAAACTGGAGAAAATGAGCCTTTAATGGATGAAATCGGTTGGAAATTGTCGAAGTTATGAAATTTTTTGTAAAATCATGGAAATTGAATGTTCCAAGATTGGCCGTTGTCCCGCTCCTAGGTTCATGCACCACTTCCAGTAAGCCTTTCTGCGGACGTGTACGCATACGGTGCATTTCACTAACACTACCAGCTGTCACGCAAAATTAAATGGGATATTTTCAACAATATAATTTACGCTAGTGTTTGTGAGACCGCTCGACGAGAACCTAACGCAACCAACTCAATTTGACAGCTTTCTTTCTTTAACATTGCTTAACGATGTATACGACAAAACGTGAATTCAAGTGTAAAAATGATCCTCAAAAGTTTTGTTACGCGTGTGGCAACTATATATTTACAAAATCGGTCAATTTCACTACTGCATACAGGCTTTATTTTAAATTGATCCTGGAGACTTTGACGAACCGTGGATTCCAAAAGTATTATGTAGTTCGTGCAAAACGTGCTTGGCTAGGTGGATGTCAGGCGCAAGGTAAATTGATTTTTTGAATAACTTTCATATAAACAATTTATGTACAGCATGGTAGTGCTTTGTTCTTTCCTGATCGACATTATCTTACTTCATCTATTTTTGATAAGTGTTAATGTCTTACTTACTAACTCACTTATTTGTTATCTGTCAGTCGCTATTTGTCCTTTGACATGCCCACCATATGGCGTCGACCGTTTTGTCATGCAATGGATTGTTATTTCTGCTTGACAAAAGTTAAGCAACAAGGACGTCACAAAACAGTTGAGTATCCACAAGTGGCTTCTATGACAAAACCTGGTCCACATTCAAGTTCGGTCCCGTATCCTGTTTATCCAAAGCGGAAACGAGCGCCCTCTGTTGAATCAACCGTTACAAAAAGTGAGGAGGAATTCAAGGAGGAATGCGAGGAAGACTTCGAGTTGGAATTGGAAAGAAACCCAAAACTGTTTACACAATCCGAATTTAATGATTTGGTGCGAGATCTTGACTTATCGAAGGAGAAATCCGAATTGCTGGCATCACGCTTGAAAGAACACAACATGCTGAGCAAGAAGGTCAAAATTTCTTGTCACAGGAATCGTCACAAGAAATTTGATTATATTATTCTACAAAGGACAAGGCATGTTTTTGCCATGACGTAAACGGCTTGTTTGAAGAGTTTGGTGAGCCATATGATCCAGCTGAATGGCGTTTATTCATCGATAGCAGCAAGTTGAGCTTGAAAGCCGTTTTACTGCATCAAGGGAATGAGAAACCTTCTATTCCATTAGCTCATGAAGGAAACGTATGAATCAATGGCTCTATTGCTCAATTTGATAAATTACAATCAACACAATTGGAAAATTTGTTCCGATCTTAAAGTGGTTGCCATGTTGACTGGATTGCAACAGGGATACACAAAATATATGTGTTTTTTGTGTAAATGGGACAGTCGAGCTCGTAAGGAACACTACGTCCGAAAAGATTGGCCAAAACGGGATAATTTCACAATTGGTAAAGACAACGTTAAAAATGATCCTCTTGTGGTAAAAGAACGCATAATACTTCCACCACTATATATAAAACTTGGGCTATTCAAAAGTTTCGTCAAAGCGTTGCAAAAAGAAGGGCCGGCATTCCAGTACTTGAAATCAGTATTTCCAAATGTATCTGACTCAAAGATAAAGGAAGGTGTATTTGTTGGCCCACAGATCAAAAAACTGCTCAATGATTCCGCATTCAACACAGTTTTGACACCAGATGAGGAAGAAGCGTGGAAATCGTTCCAGCGTGTTGTCACAACCTTTTTAGGAAATTTCAGAAGCCCAGATTATGAGGAAGCCGTCGATGATTTGCTCAAAAATTATGAGAAAATAGGTATAAATCAAAAATATTGTGTTTGTTACATATAATTAATTTCAAATCCTTTTATTTCACTTAACACAGGTGTGAATATGTCTTTGAAGATACATTTCCTACATTCTCACATGGATTTTTTCCCGGAAAATCTTGGTGACGAGAGTGATGAGCACGGCGAACGTTTTCACCAATAAATGAAGATGATGGAACGTCGTTACCAAGGGTTTTGGGATGAAGCAATGATGGGTGACTATTGTTGGTTTCTGATTCGAGAAACAAGTTCAAAACATCGAAGACAAAGTCATTCGATTCTCAATAATTTTTAATAAAACCAAAATAAATTTCTTTGGATCAACTCGGTTTTAAATCCTGATATGCCTTAATCAAATTGATATGTAAAGAAAAGAATCTTCCATGAAAACTTTACATGCAATTTGGATGCTTACAACGACACCTAGAAAAGGAACTCTAAAGCTGTTGTATTTCAGCAACATTTTTAAGTGTTTTACAAAAATGCTCATAACTTCGAGAATTTCCAACCGATTTCATCCATTAAAGGCTCATTTTCTCCGGTTTTGAATGGACTTTAAGAATAAATTATGGAATGATTTTTTGAATCTTTTTATCCCATTAAAAATGTTGATTAAAAGAAGATTTTTATGGAAAATTCGCAGGAAAAATAAAAAAAAAAATGCTGTAAATTTTTAAATGACTTCAAAATAAATTTTTAATTTAGACATAATATTCTAGTGAACGATAGCAAATTTATTTAGCTTCATTTTCATGAAAAAAGATTTAAAATTAGTGCACTAGTTTCAAAGTTATTGACATTTTAGTAATCGTACTTTTGTCCAAAATTCAAAAAATCAATATTTTTGTATATCTCAAAAATGACTCTACTTTAATTTTTTCTGACCACGGCATTGAATTCAGCGTAGGATTTTGCATTGGAAATGATCATCACCTTACCGAGTTCAAAAATGCTGTAAACTAGTGTTATCATTAAAATCAAAAATCTAACTTTTTTGTTTGAATAAATTAAGGTACACATTCTTCGGCAATGTTATAGTTGAGCTTATTTCAAGCAACTTTGTATATTTTTATGTCTCTTAAATTGACCGATTTAGAGCTATTTTCTTGAATTGAGTTAGGGTGTCTCTAAAAAACAGTTGTCTTGCTCTAGTTTTCTTATTTCAAATTTCTCAGCAAAGGTGTCTTAAAATAACTTCTAGATCTAAAAGTCATCTTCTAGAGACTGTGCAAACTCTTTAAGACGAATGTTGTATAGCGAAATGTTTTGGCTGTATCTCTTCTAATAAAAAAGATGTACCCAAATATAATAAAAACATGAATAAATTCAAATTGATATTTTACGAGTTTAAAAAATAACATACCTCAATTTTTTTCATATTATTGAGAATAGCAAACGCTCTTTCAAACTTTTTTTTTTGTCTCAACCAGAGATATTAAAATTTGAAAGGGCATATTTTTAGTAGAAAAACGTCAATAACTCTTGATCGGCGAAAGGCATTGAAAAGCTTTGTGCAGCCAAAAATTGCGCCTTCTAAAGATCTAAAAGTTATTTGAAGATACATTTGCTGAAAAATTGGAAATAAGAAAACTAGAGCAAAACAACTGTTTTTTAGAGACACCCTAACTCAATTCAAGAAAATCGCTCTAAATCGGTCAATTTGAAAGATATACAAAGTCGCTTGAAATAAGCTCAGCTATAACTTTGCCGAAGAATGTGTACCTTAATTTATTCAAACAAAAAAGTTAGATTTTTGATTTTAATTATTATAAGAACCACCCTAGAATTCATTGTCATAAAAATGAGGGCCTAACTATAAGGAACAACTTTGTTGAAGAAACTTTTAGTCTAACGTTTTAATTTTAGGCTCAAAGCATATCATTTCACCTAAATCTGCATTCTGGACCACTGTGCACTGGGTCGATTTCAAAGATCAAAATATCAATTGGCAATTAATTAAAAATTCGTTTAGGAAAAATATTATGATACTAAAAATTAGGATGTTGTTTTGAAAACCATTGATTGAATTCGTTTTTTTATGGTTTCCATGGTTGGTAGACAGAGGGCGCAATATGTTTTTTTTTTATAATTTTCCTTGAAAATTTAGGCGTTGCTATTGGTACTACTCCTGGACTGAGTCAAATGTTCGTAAATTTTCCTCATTTTCCGGCAGATCTCATTGGCC